GGACCTTTTGTGTAATAGATGTTCAATTAAGATTTGATTCATTAAGATGTTCAATTAAGACTTGATTAATTCAAGTGTGTATATAATTCCTGCAGGATTTTATTCTCTCAACAATGTACCATTCCATCTCTAAGTTGTACTTTCCCAAATTCTGTTTTGTTTTTTGTTTGTTTTGTACCGGGGATTGAATTTGGGACCTTGCTCTTGTGCTTGCGTGGCAGGCACTGGAACCACTGAGCTAAATCCCCAGCCCCCCAAATTCTGGACTCTTGATTTTTCTATTAAGTCAGGATAAAATGGAAAGTTGGGTAAGAAGGGTCTTAGAAATTTGTTTACTGGCCTCCAGTCCTTCAGATAGTAATTCATTCAGGCACATTTGTTGTTTGGTTTAAGATTATAGCCTCTTAAAAGCAGGAATGGGTTTTTCACTGATCATAGAAATGTCCTGAAAATCAGCTGTCATTTCTAGAAGCAGGTTTGGGCCGGAATACAGAAATCAGTATTGCTTATGTTGTTCTGAGGCCTGTGTTACAATTTTCATGACAAGGTGAGGTTTTACTTTCAGTCTGTTGACAGGTTTATGAAAAGTTTCTTTTAAAAAAATTATCTGATTAGTGTCGGGGATTTAGCGCAGTGTTTTTGCTGCCTGCTATGCAAGCGCAAGGACCTGAGTTCGATCCCCAGTGCCACCCCCCCCCCCAAATTATCTGAGTTTTGGTACCGGGGATCAAACTCGGGACCTTGTTGCTTGCGCAGCAGGCAGGGAAAACACTGAGCTAAATCCCTAGCAAAAATTAACTGATTTTTAAAAACTGAGGTGAAAGATACATAATATTAAATTTACTGTTTTTACCATTTTAAATGTACAGTTTAGTGGCATTAAAGAACATTCACATTGTTTTATGACCATTTTACCTCCAGAGTTCTTTTCATCTTACAAAACTGACACTCTGTACCTATTAAACACCAGCTCTCCATTCTCCCCTTCCCTCAACCCCTGATACCTACCCTTCTAGTTAGAGTCATTCTCTCTCTCTTTTTTTTTTGTGGTACCGGAGATCGAACTCAGGTCCTTGCACTTGCGAGCCAGGCAGTGGAACCCCTGAGCCAAATCCCTGGCCCAAGAGTCATTCTCCATGAATCTGACTATCGTAGGTCCTTCATACAAATGGAACCATAAAGTATTTATGTTTTGTTACTGGCATATTTCACCATAGTGTCTGCACGGTTTATTCACATTGTTGCATGTATCAGAATTTCCTTCCTTTTTAGGGCTAAATAGTATTCTGTTGCATTGTGTGTATAATACCATATTTTGTTTATCCATATTGGATTGTTTCTGCCTTTTGGTTTTCATGGATCATGCTGCTTTAAGCACTGGTGTACAGATATCTGTTCAGGTTCCTGCTTTCAATTGGTTACTTGGCTTTTAATCTTTTTATACCAAGCCCCCTTACCTAGTGTTGATTTAACAATCTTATCATCCCTCAGAAACTACCCCCATTTTCCCATCACCACGAGAAAGGCAGAATGGAAGAGTACTTGACATTACCCATGGCAGTACAAAAATTGGCTCCAGCCTTTCAGAAATTAGGATGATGGATTGTGCTTCTTTGTTGTTAGATTTTTGTATCTATTATCCACTTTGAGTTATAATAAAGTAGCATTTCATGTTTTTCTTATAATTAAAATCTGCCATTTTTGTCTCAACACAAATGCACTGAGGCTGGGTGTGGTGGTGCATGCCTTTAATCTCAGCATTTAGGAGGCTAGGGCAAGAGGATTTTCCTGAGTTTGAGGCTAGCCTGGGCTACATAATAAGTTCAAGGGCAGCTTGAACTACATAATGAGAACCTGTCACAAAAAAGAGAAAAGTACTGATATTTTTAAAGTTTGGTTAAAACCCATAAGAATATATATAATGAAGATCTCGAGTTGTGTGCTCCCCCCTCACTGGAGATGATATACAGGGCCTTATGCATGCTATCCAAGTGCTCTACCCCTGGGCTACATCACACAACGTTGAAAAACATTGAGACAGAATCTCACCAAATTGTCAACTGGTCTTGAACTTGTGATCTTCTTGCCTCAGCCTTTCTAGTAGCTAGGATTACATGTGTGTGCCAACATATCTGGCTTGAGCTTTTATTATAGAAATTTATCGTACGTACTTTAATATCATTAAAGATTTATATATACATATCTGTGGTTTTTAAGCTTTTTGATGTCAAGCCCCTTTATTTTTGTTTAATTCATAAGAAATTATTGAAAACCCCAAAGAGCTGTTGTTTATATGGTTGACTATTGATATATACCATACGAAAAGAGACATTTTAAAGAATCTACCAATTTTTAAAAGCTCATTAAATGTCATAAGTAACATTTTTATGAAAAATAACTTTCTAAAATAAATTAAGGATATATACTATTTTATATTTGGGCAGTTATTTCTAATGTCTAGATTATTGGAAGGGCTAGGTACTCATATTTACTTCTGCATTTAATCTGTTGCATTATGTTGTTTTGGTTGAAGTATGTGAAGAAAATCTAACCTTGCACAAATAGTTAAAAAAAGAGTATTTTAATAATTTTTTTCATATAACCTTGAATATTTTTCTTTGATATTAGACCAAAATGCAACAAGTTGTAGTTTTCTAAAGGTTAGTTGCAATATAGAATTTGAAATATATCAATGAATTTTTCATACCTGGTTACATTAAAATCCATCTGTCTTTTGTCTTGAATGGATCTTTTATTCAGGTACAATTTCTGTTATCATTGGACATTTGGAAAATACTGGTTGACCAAGGATGTGAGTCTTTCAGATATTGACATGTCTTAGTCTATTTTGTGTTGTGACAAAATACCTGAGACTGGGTACCTTATAAAGTAAAAGGTCTATTTCATGCATAGGTTTGGAGGCTGAGGCTCTAAAATTGGGTAGCTCCATCTGTTGGCCTCTGGTAAGTACCTCTGGCTCTGTCATAACATGGTAGATGGCATTATGTACCTTCAGAAGCACTTGTGAGAGATCCCAAGGCAACAGAGGACGCAAGAGAAATTTGGAAAGGGTCAGGCTCATTGTTTTACAACACGCTGCTCTGTTAGGAGCTAATCCATTCCTATGAGACCTAACCCACTGCACAAGACCAACAATGATCCCTTTATGATATTGGTCACAACACAGTCACCCCCACTAGTTCCCCCCTCGTAAAGGTCCAACGATGTTTCAGTACTGCCACATTAGGGACCAAACTTCTAGTACATGAACCTTTAGAAGACAAACCATATCCAGACTATAGCAGTACAGAATAAAATACAAAATAAAAAATAATACATTTATTATATGAGTAATATCTTTAAGTTCTAGTGAGCTATTAAGTTTTGTTTTTTTTTGTACCGGAGTTCGAACTCGGGTCCTTGCGCTTGTGCAGCAGGCAGCAAAACCACTGAGCTAAATCCCCAGCCCACGCTATTAAGTTCTTAATGACATACGCTGATTTTTCCAAAATTCTGATTTTAATTTGAAAGCTCAGTTTTATCATTGGTAACAAATATTGTCAGTTGTTTTCCTTGTAGTAAGGGGCCTACTTTGTTCATGTTCAAGAAAATGTCTGCCAAATACCCAAACCAGAATAACCATAATTTATCATTTTTTCCAGTAAACGTGGTATACCATGAAAATAAAAACCAACTTAAATTTGCAACTTAAACTGCAGCACAAATGCTTTTTCTTGGGATTGCATATACTTCAGTGGTCGTTAGAAGTACTATTTGGAAACAATATTAAAAAGCTATGAACTTGATCAATATTTAGTGAATTTTTAATCAAATTAATAATATTTACTGCTACCAGGTGTAGTGTTGTTTGTGTCTGTATTCTCAATTATTTGGGGGGCTGAATCAGCAGATGGATCATGATTTTGAGTCCAGATTGGGCATCAGAACAATATCCTGTCTCAAAAAAACTAATACTTTTTAACAATGGATTAAGTACATTCAAAAGTGAAACTGACTCTAAAAAATTTATGGACTGCTGATGCAATAGTCCTCCTCCCTTGGTTAGTACTAGAGCTGGCAATTTGATAACTTGCTTTTACACCATTGATAGAAATGTGACACAAGACAGCAAAACTTGTCCTAGTATTATTATGAAAGTAGTTTTTATGAGAGGATCTTGCTGGGACTTCATCTCATAAGCCAGTGGTGGTCAAGGTTCTCTTGATCAGCAGAATTAGCATGTCTCATGAACTTTTTAGAAATGCAGACACCTTGGCCCTGCTCTAGCTCTTCCGCGTCTGGAAATTCTGTGCTGCATATAAGAAAGTTTACTCTGAGAGCCCTGTAGAATGGGAGAGGGGAAGTTAGAGACAAACTTGCAGTCTTTGCAGAGGATGTGATATGAGGCTGTAATTCAAGCAGTAGGAAGGAAGATAAGGGTGGATTTGCTGGAGATAGATTGTCTAGGACTTTATTGCTCATGAACAACTTGAAAGCTAAATAAACAGCTGCCAACAGTCAAGGTCAGAGGGCTTTCAGAGGGCCTTGCTGCTTTGTGTCCTCTGGACTATCTTTAACTGATAGGGAAAATATCAATTGAGTACTTGTCTAGCCTCTTGAGTTTCCTTTTAGAGAATGCCAGTTTAAACAGTGACCATGGCCTTTGGTGGAATAAAATCGCACATTAGGGCCCACAGCATTAGGACAGTATAATGCAGAAAATGGAGATAATGATTTTATTCAGATAATGCCTAGCCACAGGCAAATTTAATACTATAGTACATGCTAGTCAAACACTGGTATGTTTTCCCGAAGTTCATGGGGACATATCCTTTTACTACTTTAATTTTACCTGTCAGTGCAGTCAGTAGCTCCATTTGATAGATTGTAAGCATAAAGATGGGTCTCCAGTTTCAGTTATAACAGTTATTCTATTAGAACTGTTACTCTTCAGTATTTTTAAGTTCTTTTTTTTTATATCCTTTGTTTTTGTTTTACAGATTTGTAAGATTCCAAGGCCTTCAAGCCGAGATCAGCCTGATGGTTCCTGAAATAACTGGGAAAACAAATGCTTCAAGTGCCAGTTGAAGATTGTGTCTATGTATATTCGAAACCTTCTTTCTATATATACGCATTTACATGAGAAGACAGGCTCATTCTTGTGCACATTTGGGAGTTTTTCAACTGATGAAAATTAATTTAAGAATCAGATGGAGCAACTTGACACTTCTGGGCGCAGGAGCCCAGGGAGAAAAGTATATCACTAATGGCCAATTTTCCATATGGCCTTCATGGGTAAAGAGAATTTGCAAAAAGAAGAAAAAAATTTGCATAGATTAAGCCTCAAAAATACCTCTCCAGTTTAAAGAAGGAAATAAATGAGAAGGTGATCACAGAAGTGTGAATTCAACATTGCAGGTGGGATCATGCAGTGTTTTTTCACTTTATTTTTTATTAGGTTTAATGATTTGGACAGAGTTTAAAATTCTGGACTGAAAAGTAACTTACTGTGGTTGTTACTGAAGGAAAGCAAGTTCAGGTGTGATGGGACAAGTCTGAACATTGAACTGATTCCATCACTTTGCCTTTTTCAGTTAACTGTATTTGAGGATTTTAATTTATTATTTTCCTTTTCTGCACCTGTAGGATAATATCTTAAAATAGCAATTGGAACCAATAATTACAAAAGTAAACATCAAGGAAAACCCAAGCAAAGCTTCCTTTTGCCTGGATGAAAGGCTGTGGAAACAAGCTCTGAATGGGAACAAGAAGGTGCCCATTGGCACAGTGACTCTAGGGAAATGGTGCAATCCTGGGGACTCTGATACTAGCTTGGGTGTATGGTTAGAGGGATTGTCAGCTGTGTTGAGTCTAAGAACACTTGCATATGAGAAGATTTGGACTTAATGCTGAGATTATTTTTTTCATTGAAATGAAAAAGCACATGAGCTTTAGGAATAGAAAAGAGGAGAAGTAACTGGAAAGTGAGAAAGAGTCCAGCAAAAGAAACAAGAGTGTTACTCTGTTAGTCAGCAGAATTAGGATTACCTTAAGGCAAATACTTGGTCTGCTTTAATAGCTTTTTTCTCTGCCTCTGCTGACCTTGCTTTTTAGCCCCTATGGCACTGAGGGGTCTGCTGGCTGGCAGAGGAATTGTCCCAGGGAACCCTGCGTTCCTCGGGGACACAGGGCCCAGCATTAAGATAGGAAATTTCTGGTTCTGAACAGTGAGGAAGAGTGTTTTTCTTCCTAAAATTGGACTGCTGTCTGCACAAACTCTGATCTGTTTTGCACAGTTTGTGTGCCTTTTTTTCCCTTTATGCAATCTTTTTCAGCTTTTGCAGCAGAAATTTGTCTAGTTCAGAAAACATGCCAGAGGGTGGCTTTAGAAGATGATCCTGTATGTTCTGTCTCTACATCTGAACTTTTGAAGAGAAAATTCCAGCTGAGGGATTCTTAAAAAGCCTTAAGTTACTTGAAATCTCTGTATTTGAAACTCTTTGTCTTTGGAATCACATTACACAAAACTGGAATCTCAGGCTGAATGAGAATAACTAAGTTGAGTAAAAAAGAAGAAATCTGTTTCTTGATCACCACTTATTAATGATGCTCTTTCTCCAAAGGATCAGCGTATTCTTCCTCTAAGGACTTGAAAATAAAAATGGACCCCATGTTTTTTTTAGGCATTACCTTTTCTTAGCAGACTGCCATCATCTTTTATAGAGGAATTTTTTCACTATGCATTTGGTGGATCTTTATAAAATACTGACCTTCTTCTAATTAGCTCCAGGTCAGTCTTAATTAAAAGGGGGCGGGGGGAGCAAGCACGTCAACCATAAAAATTAAATAAACCAATGAAAGAAATTGGTTTAAAATTTTCAGCATTAAGCATTATTTTTCAAGTAAAACAGTTCATTGAAAAAAGTATGTATGCAGCAGTAGAACATGGACCTGTGCTTTGCAGCGACTCCAACATCCTCTGCCTGTCCTGGAAGGGTCGTGTTCCCAAGAGTGAGAAAGAGAAGCCCGTGTGTAGGAGGCGTTACTACGAGGAAGGCTGGCTGGCCACAGGCAATGGGCGAGGTGTAGTGGGGGTGACTTTTACCTCCAGCCACTGTCGCAGGGACAGAAGTACTCCACAGAGGATAAACTTCAACCTGCGGGGCCACAATAGTGAGGTGAGGTGTGATTTTATTTTGTTTTTTGCCTGGTAACTTTAGTTGTCTTTTCAGATCCTCTTGCATTTGAAACTTCTTTTGCTTCAGTTTCTTAGTCTTGCTGTTAGTGAGACTCATTCTCTTGAATTCTGTTTCCTGTGCTCTAGCAGGAAAGATGCTAAGGTGGCCACAGTGCCCTGTGTGTGACCTAAATGGGTCATTTGTCCTCCACACCCATGTTTTCCTCTCTGTGCCTAAGAGTTGCTGCTGCCTGTCTGATGCCCAGTGACAGGGAGGCCAGGGTACTTTCTGTCCATAGTAGGGGTGAGTTTCTCATGTTCAAGTCTCCAAAGCAAAGAGTTGCCCCTACCAACATGTAAGACTCACTGTGAAAATAAAAATGGTGCTGCCTTCCCCTTGCCCAGGTAATACCTGCATTTCTTTGGTGAGGATTTACCACTTGACTTATATTTCTTGGAGGTGAAAAGAAGTCATTACTTGGACAGCAGCCATAATTTTTCCCACCTATGAGATCTGCTATATTGAGGTTATTATGGTGTGTATTTGTACATACAGATTTCTTTGGTCTTCTAATACAGAAACTGTGGTATTGTCTATGAAATTTACTGTGAATTTCAACTAAATTTACTGAGCAAAGCTTACATGTTAGGCACTATGTTTACCTTGTTTTGTTTTGTTTTTTGGTACTGGGGATCGAACTCGGGTCCTTGCGCTTGCGCAGCAGGCGGCGAAACCGCTGGCTGAGCTAAATCCCCGGCCCAAGCACTATGTTTAAAAGAAGACCATGACTGATAATTTTTTTGTAAATATTGTTGCAAATATGTACTTGTATAGCAGTTTGACAGTATTCCTGTTTCATTGTTTACTTTTTTTCAGGGTGTTTTCATATAAGTAGTCAGTGCCTATTTCAGGGATCTTAAAATGTCATTTATGGTTACTGAAAAGCTGTTGTAGAGGAGCAAGAATATTTTTTTGTTTTTGTTTTGTTTCGTTTTTGGTACTGGGGATTGAATTTGGGTCCTTGCGCTTGTGAGGCAGGCGGCAGAACCACTGACCTAAATCCCCGGCCCCAAGAATATTTTTGAATTATATGTCTTAATCCATTTAGCCTACTATAACAGTACTACAGATTGGGTGGCTAATTAACATATAAACTTATTTCTCATAGTTTTTGGAAGTTTGAGATTAGGGTGCCAACATGGTAGATTCTGGTAGGGCCTTTCTTCTGGGTTGTACAGTGATGTTTTCTCTTTGGTGGAATGAGGGCAAGTGTTTCTCTGGGACCTTTCAGGAGAGCACCAGTTCCATCGCTTCCTAAAGGCCCCAGTTCCTAATCCATTACCTTGAGGTTAGGATTTCAACATATGAATTTTGAGCAAACTACTGTAACACACATTTTAAGTGTTACTATATTATTTACATCTCAGTGATGATTTATATGTACAAATACCCATGGAAGCTCCAGCCGGATCAAAATATAGAACACTTCTAGCACCTGTTGCAGGACCTATTTTCTCCTTCCCAGATTTATATTCCATCTTAGTCCATTCTGGTTGCTGTAACAGAACACCTTAGAATGGATAATTTAAAACAACAAAAATTTATTGGTCATGATTCTGAAGCTTGTGAAGTCCCAGATCAGTGCTCTAGCAGGTTGACTAATATGCCTGGTGGAGATTTGCTCTCTGCTTCCTAGATAGTGTGTTCTTGTTGGTCCATGAGATAGCATCCTCCTTCAAGCCTCTTTTTATTTATTTATGTTTTTTGAGACAGAGTCTTGCTAGATAGTCCAGCCTGCCCTTGAACTGTGTAGCCCAGGCTGGCCTCAGTCTCACAGGGATCCTCCTGCCTTAGCTTCCAGAGTGCTGGGATTATAGGCATGTGCCACCACACCCACCTTCCTCAAGCCTGTTTTATAAGGGCACTAATCCTACCCATCAAGGCAGAGTCCATGTGATCTAATTGCCTTCTAAAGTCCATACCTCTTAATTCCATCAGGGTGGAGGTATAAATTTTCAGGTGAATTTTGGCAAGACACATTGATGTCATAACACAGCCCCAGTGAGAGGTAATCTACATTCTTTGTTGCATATTTTGTGTGTATGGCTTCTTTCATTAATCATAGTGTCTGTGAGAATCATCTTTGTTGTGGGTACTATTAGTTTATTTTTGATTGATGTTAACTTTCTATCAAAGGAAGATTACCATAATTTTTCCATTCTTTTGTTGGTAGACATTTGGATTACTTCCAGTTTTTGGCTATTCCAACACTCCCGTGAATATTTGTGTGCAATGCATGTCTTTCTGTAGAATTTCTGAGTCACGGTATTGGCGTATGAGGTTTGACAGTTGGACAGTTTTGTTATTGCCAAATAGTTTTCTGAAGTGATTGTACCATTTTATACCCCACCCTCAAGGTGTGAAAGTTTTAGTTGTGAAGCCAGAAGTATTTTGATATTCCTTTTCCTAGTCTGAGTTTAATTTACTAAGAACCTTCTTTTGAGTTTGAACTTTTATTTAAAAATAATGAGTGCCAAGAATTATGTTTTATAGGTACTGTCATACAACAGTGGGTGCATACACAAATAAATATATTACTATAACTTTAGGTGGTCACTATTTTATTTTTTTTGGTACCAGGGATCGAACTTGGGTCCTTGCGCTTGCACAGCAGGCGGCAAAACCACTGAGCTAAATCCCTGGTCTGGTCACTCTTTTAAAAGATACAATTTTCTGTTAGTGTGTAATAAATTACTACAAACTTGATAGCTTAAACCAACACCTTTTTCAAGTCTCACAGTGCTTGAAGGTCTGAAATCCTGGCATAGTGTGGCTTGGCTTCTTTCTGCTCAGTATCTCACAGGCTTGGAGATATAGTGCCACCTGGGACTGGGAGCACCTCTGGGGCTCAGGATCCTTGTCCAGGCTTATGCAGGTTGTTGGGATTGTAGGACTGAGACACTTGGACCCTACTGGCTCTTCATTGGACCTGCTATGGTGGCCTCTCCACAATGTGCATTTGGTCTTCAGAGCCAGCAGGAAAGCCTCTACTGTAGCTTCCAATATTCTGATCCATTTTGAATTTAGTTTAGTACATGGTGAGAGGTAGGGGTCTAGACTTAGTCTTCTCCATGTGGATAACCAGTATCCCCAGCACCATTTATTAAAGAGGCTGTCTTTCCTCCAGTGTGTGTTTTTTGGCTCCTTTGTCAAAGATTAAATAGGAGAATGTACTTGGGATTATTTATGCATCCTCTATTCTCTTCCATTGATCCACATGCCTGTTTTTGTGTCGGTACTATGCCATTTTTATCACCATAGCTTTATAATATAACTTCAAATCCGTGATTGTGATGCCTCCTGCTTTGGTCTTGTTGCCCAGAATAGCTTTTGCTATTCTGAGTCTCTTCTGGTTCCATATACATTTTAGGATTGTTTTCTTCAGTTCTGTGACTAATGCTCTTGGTATTTTGGTAGGGATTGCTTTGAATCTGTTTATCAGTTTTGGAAGTATGGTGATTTTGACTATATTGGTTGTGCCTATCCAGGAACAGGGGATATCTTTCCATTTTGTGATGACTCTTTGGTCTCCTTTTTCAGAGTGCTGTAGTTTTCACTGTAGAGATCTTTCACTTTCTTGGTTAAGTTAATTCCTAAATATTTATTTTTTCTTGATATTACTGTGAGTGGTAGTTTTTCCTAATTTCTTTCTCAATAAGTTCATTATTGGTTTACAGGAGCACTATTGATTTTTGTGTGTTGATTTTGTATCCTGCTACATTGCTAAATTTGGTTATTAACTCTAGGAGTCTTTTGGTGGAATTTTTGGGTCTTCTATGTAGAGTATCATGTCATCTGCAAATGATGATACCCTGACTTCATCCTTTCCTGTACATATCCCCCCCCCCCCCCGCCATACTGGAAATTGAACTCAGGACCTTGAGCTTGCAAGGCAGGCATGGCGCTAACTGAGCTAAATCCCCAGCCCATCCCTTTTATTTCTTTCTCTCGTCTGACTGCTCTTGCTGATGTTTTGAGTACTATATTGAGCCAGAATAGTATTAGTGGACATCCTTGTCTTATTCCTGATTTTAGAGGAAAAGCTCTCAGCTTTTCCCCCCTTAATATGATGTTGGCAATAAGTTTGTCATAAATGACTTTTATCAGATTGAGATAACATCCTTCTATATCTATTTCTTCAGTGTTTTTTAAAAAAATCATAAATGGATGTTGGATTTTGTCAAAGGTTTTTTCATTTTGCATCTATCAAAATGATCAGTCTTACTTTTGTCCTTCTCTTTATGTGATATATTACATTTAGCAATTTATATATGTTGAACCATTCTTGCATCCCTGGGATGAAGCCTGCTTGGTCATGATGTATTTGAACTTACAGTCTTCATCCGCTTCTTAGAGTGTTTGAACTACTGTTGTATGCCACTATGCCTGGGTATCTTTGAAACTTTTGATAATGATGTTCTAGAAGAAAGATGGATGTGTGCTTACCTGCTGGAACTCCCAACTCTTCATAACTGGTTGAGAAGTGATACTTTCTTAGGATTAATTGTTCCTCTACTCTGAAGCATAGCTGTGATCTAGTTTCATATAAAGATCAGTTTTTTTCTTTTAGAAGTGTCCTTTCTCAATTGGGTATTTATATAGCTTTTCAAAAGGAGTATTATGGTTCAGAAGGAAAAGTTATTTCAGAAAATAATTACTTGGGAATGTTTTTTAGAAAATTTCTTATAGGTATTATTGTCATGTAAATTATGCAAGGTTAGTACAGATCTTTTTAACAGTATTTTCTTGGCTTAAGAGTAGACAGGCATTCATGCAAATATGGTAGAATTAGTTTCATTATAGAGACTACAACAGTGGTTTCACCTGTCCTTCTTGGATTTGGGTATATGTTCTCTAAGATACTTTTTCTGATGCCCCACCTCTTGCATACAACCAACAGACCTCTGTGGTTGCACTTAGAATGCTTTATTGCAGTTACC